CCCCCCCCCCCCTCTCTGTCTCCCTCCATTATCCTCTGCAGTGAACCCTCAAACTGCAGCCCTTTTGCAGAATCCGCTGACTCACCCATTATTTAACTTCATGTAACCACGATTGGTGTAGATAGTTTTAAGTTTTGCATTAATTCCTTTTTCACATTCAACATTCAGAAGAAGGGAAAAGGAATGATCTATTCAAGAGGCAGTAGGAAGTGGACGTGTGTGTTCCTTCCGTGCAATGCTTGCTCCCCTGTGTCTTTGGGGGACTTCCTTTGATGATGGCTGGGGAGGGAAGTCCTTGGTACAGTCCAGTCTGGCTTGCCTTGTGCTTTGCAGCAGATCGGGCTGAGGATGGGAACAGTCTCTGGCACATATTTGTATGACCTGCAGAGAACAGCAGAGAACCTGACCCTTGTCTTTAACCAGTACTGCCCACTTCACCATCTTGGGGTACAAAGGTCTCACTGCTTTTAATATTTGAATTAAATTGGCCCGAGCCCCAGTTTTGCATATGTGATCAGTGTCTTTCTTTTCTCACTTGAGCCCTCTTTCCAGTGCTGTCATCAGGGAGCTACCCTTGGAGGTCATTTCTCACTGTCAACAGTAGTGCTTTGTGGACTTGGAGATGTTACCAATCCCTGGGGTCTTATTAAAATGTGGATTCTGATTCAGCAGGATGGGGTGGGGCCTGAGGTTCTGTAGGTGATGCGACGCTGCAAGTCCAAGGTCACAATTTGGGTAGCAAGGGTTATTGGTTCCCATTCCTTTTCAGATCATGGCATACATGAAAATATCTGTCTGGCACACTGCTGGGGCTGCTTTGGCTGCCTCCAGTCCTGGATACCTCAGAGCTGAGGGAATCAATATCCCAGCTCATTTCTAACCCACTCGAAGCACCTTGGGGTGGGCCAGGGAACACCAGTTGAGGGGAGAGAAAATGTCCAAATCTAACAAATCCAGTCTCTACAGGGGTGTGGGGGCTCATCCTCTATTCTTATTATTGCAGGCACTGCCCCATGGTGTGGCTGAAAACAGGCCACCCTTAGGGCCCACAGGTGCCATGCCTGCCAGGAGTGGCCCTCTGATCCAGCAGGGTTTTCTCTGGGTGTAGAGAGGGAGTATAAGGCTATCCCCAGTGTTACAGTCGACTGCAGTCACCCCACACCCCGTTGGCCAGGGATCCCAGGCTGCAGCTCTTTACATGCGCTGCTGTGTGTGTNGGGTGCCTTTAAAGTAGCTCAGCGGCTTTAAACCCATGCACTAACCAGCCACTGGGCTGTCCTTTGCTACTGAAGCACTTCCTCCTTTTGGCCTATCATCTTGTGTTCATGTCACACCATGGCATGGAGGGGCTGAGAAGCCAGAGTGAATTCTCGGTTCGGTGACCTCTCTGGAGGTCAGCTAGAGTCAGCCCTGAAGACAGAAGCAGAATCACCTTTCGGGAGCCTTCTCAGATGTGTCCCGCATCAGAGCCATCCACGGGACACTCTGGGAGCTCCAGGCACATGCTGGAAGGGGCCTCGTCCTGCCCAGGGGGTTGTACATGGCCGGGTGTATCCTTAATTGGCATACATTTATTCAAGTGGCATTTAAGAAACTACCATCTGTGATTCACATGTGGGAAAATGTCAGAGTATCTCCTTGTCTATTTGGAATTTTAAATGTGATTTTCAATAAGGATTGGCAAGAAATCAGAATGTTTGGGAACCACTGAGTCCATTCCTCTTTTCTGGATACCTGGGCACAAATGGTAAAACCTGGATTGTAGATAATTCCCACATCCTGGTTTAAATAAATAGTCATATCATTACAGTTTATTATCAGCAATAATTTTTATTCAGTGTCAAAAAAATCTCCCTTTAACCATCTTGACAAATTTATGCTTTATATTTTTTTAGCAGTTAAAGATGCTGACTTCCTTATAGACTTTGAAAAAGATCCTTGGAGAGCTTTGGCTGCTTTAAATATTATGTAAACTTCCATGTGTTTACTATTATAATTTTTTAATAAAACAGGTAGATGGGAGAGAGAAGCATATGGTCCCTCATATCTTAGAAAAGCCACCAGACACCCTTGCTGATTAAACTAACCTCCTCACTGCAGAGTGTGGAGTGGGAATGAAGAGCTTTCTCATCTTTTTGTTGTACTATTATCCTATACATTGGATGTCCTGTATATTGGCAGAAGACCATGACTGTGGTTAGCATGAACTTACTGAAGTTGGAGGCACAAGTTCACAGGCCTCACGACATAGAAATAGAAATAAGCTATTTTTAGAAGCTGGAAGGGACTGTAGAGATCACTTTAGTCCAGACGAGAGTCTGAGAGGAACAATGACGGGCTCCACAGATGGGCAGAGGCAGAGGGGGGCTTGCACCCCCAGTTCCCTGCCCCCACTACCCTGAGGTGGTTCAGCTGAGTGGGAGCTGCCAGGCTGTCGCCTCCCCCATGGGGTCAGTGTGTCAGAAGAGTACAGAGATGCATAGTAGGGAAAGCACTGAGGTTGTAGGAATGAAAGGACAGGTTTCCTGGTGATGGTATCGCTCCCACTGGGGCTATTGAGTGGTGGAAAAAAGCAGTGTGCTGCAGGGACTGTGTGAGGAAGCATTGCATATGCAAACACCATTCATGGTCTGGGGCGGGTGGGAGATGGGGGTGGGGGGTGCCTGCACCAGGCCCACTGGAAAGCCCAGCAGCCCAGGTGGGAGCCACACTGTGCCCAGTTTTGCCCAGCTCAGAGCTCCAGAACTGAGCAGGTGTGAACTGAGCAGGTTTGGCTGCTGGATGGGAGCCTGGGAGTGTCTGCTGTGGAACGGTTTCTGCGCCAGCCTGGGAGGCTGTAGGTCACTGTCTGCTGACTAGGCCATGATGTGCGCTGACTTTTCAGGAAACCCTCCGTGCTTTCTGGTGCTGGAAGGTAGGATGCTTGCCTGGCTCTTGGTAGGCAGCTGTGTGGCCAGAAACCAGAGGTAGCTCAGAGGCAGTTAGTTCTGGATGTCCCTTGTGCTGGGCACGTTCTGTCTCCCTCCCCCTCCTCCTATTGTCCATTCCCCTCCCCCCCTCCCCTTCCTGTCTCCCTCCATTCTCCCCTCTCTGTCTCCCTCCATTATCCTCTGCAGTGAACCCTCAAACTGCAGCCCTTTTGCAGAATCCGCTGACTCACCCATTAGAAAATTTAACTTCATGTAACCACGATTGGTGTAGATAGTTTTAAGTTTTGCATTAATTCCTTTTTCACATTCAACATTCAGAAGAAGGGAAAAGGAATGATCTATTCAAGAGGCAGTAGGAAGTGGACGTGTGTGTTCCTTCCGTGCAATGCTTGCTCCCCTGTGTCTTTGGGGGACTTCCTTTGATGATGGCTGGGGAGGGAAGTCCTTGGTACAGTCCAGTCTGGCTTGCCTTGTGCTTTGCAGCAGATCGGGCTGAGGATGGGAACAGTCTCTGGCACATATTTGTATGACCTGCAGAGAACAGCAGAGAACCTGGCCCTTGTCTTTAACCAGTACTGCCCACTTCACCATCTTGGGGTACAAAGGTCTCACTGCTTTTAATATTTGAATTAAATTGGCCCAAGCCCCAGTTTTGCATATGTGATCAGTGTCTTTCTTTTCTCACTTGAGCCCTCTTTCTAGTGCTGTCATCAGGGAGCTACCCTTGGAGGTCATTTCTCACTGTCTACAGTAGTGCTTTGTGGACTTGGAGATGTTACCAATCCCTGGGGTCTTGTTAAAATGTGGATTCTGATTCAGCAGGATGGGGTGGGGCCTGGGGTTCTGTAGGTGATGCTGACGCTGCAAGTCCAAGGTCACAATTTGGGTAGCAAGGGTTTTGGTTCCCATTCCTTTTCAGATCATGGCATACATGAAAATATCTGTCTGGCACACTGCTGGGGCTGCTTTGGCTGCCTCCAGTCCTGGATACCTCAGAGCTGAGGGAATCAATATCCCAGCTGATTTCTAACCCACTTGAAGCACCTTGGGGTGGGCCAGGGAATACCAGTTGAGGGGAGAGAAAATGTCCAAATCTAACAAATCCAGTCTCTACAGGGGTGTGGGGGGGCTCATTCTCTATTCTTATTATTGCAGGCACTGCCCCATGGTGTGGCTGAAAACAGGCCACCCTTAGGGCCCACAGGTGCCATGCCTGCCAGGAGTGGCCCTCTGATCCAGCAGGGTTTTCTCTGGGTGTAGAGAGGGAGTATAAGGCTATCCCCAGTGTTACAGTCGACTGCAGTCACCCCACACCCCGTTGGCCAGGGATCCCAGGCTGCAGCTCTTTACATGCGCTGCTGTGTGTGTGTGTGATGCATGCCCAGGTAGGCACAAGTACACACATGCATGCACATGCACACACATGCATGCATGCATTCACATAGCCATCTTCTCTAAGATGACCCATTCTGCCAAAAGAGCTGAATCGAAAAGAGTAGGAGGTATTAGCCACCCACTGTGCCCAGCACTGGCTCTCTCACACAACAGACTTCTGTTTTCTGTAGCGTGTCCCCTTTGGGGCCTCTGGGATCCTTTTCTGTCATCTGTCTTAATCTGTCTCTTCCTTGAGTCTATCAGAGATATTCCAAAGATTTTTTAATAAGGTAGAATCTCAGAAAACAAAAGCAAAAGCCCCTTCCTTTCCAGAAGGCCACTTCCAGCAAACCATGTTAGAAAAAGGGGCAGACCTTGTTCACTCAGATAGATGGCCCATTCCACCCTTTCCTCAGAACACCGCCTGCCATGTGCTTTTCTTTACGCAACTAAAAGGGGCCTCTCAAAAGGTCTTCCCAGAACAAAGTCTGTTTTGATGTCTTCTCATTGTAAATAGGAATTTGCAAATGGCTGTCAGTTTTACCAAAATAGCTACTAAAACATGCAGTTGCATCTCTCTTGTCATACATACCCCCCTTCCTACCAAGTTGGCTCAGGAAATGTTAGCAGAATAAAAGGACAATCTTTGGGTGTCCCATGCTCAGTCTGGCTGAAGCGCCTCTCCTTTCTCTCCAGGTCCATATTCAAGCCTTTCATCTTTGTTGATGATGTAAAACTTGTCCCCAAAGCACAGTCTCCCTGCTTTGGAGATGATGACCCTGCCAAAAAGGAGCCTCGATTCCAGGAGAAACCAGACCGCCGGCATGAGCTGTACAAGGCCCATGAGTGGGCACGCACTGTCATCGAAAGTGACCAGGTGAGCTTGGCTGAGGGCCTGTGGGGGGTGGGCTGGGTCATGGAGGAAGCTCATCCCTCCCCACCGCCCACCGCCCCTGCACATCTGGGGCTCCTCCCAGAGAGCCTAGAATGCTGGTGTTAATTTTCCTACCCTGTCTCCCGAAACTAAATAAATGAAGCCTCTACTTTTGCTGTTATTCTGGGACTTAGTAGGTTAAGAATATCTTTCATTTACTGTTTACTTAAGAATAGAAGTGTGCAGCTCCAGTAGGATGACTGTTTATCTGCTGTCTAAAATTATTTGTATACTTTTGGGAGTAAAAATTTGTACTTGACGGCAACACTTTATTTAAAGATGCCATCAGATGCAGTTTCAAAGAAGTAACTCTTCAAAAAGGTTCTGGAGATAGATGGTTGTGATGGTTACACAACAGCATGAATGTACTTAATGCTACTGATCTGTACATTTAAAAATGGTTAAAATGGGAAATGTTATGCTATGTATATTTTACCATAATACAAACACGGTTTGAAAAACCATTCTGTAGCTCAGTTGGTTAGAACGTAGTCTTATAACACCAAGGTCACAGGTTTGATCCCCATACTGGCCAGCCGCCAAAAAAGAAAGAAAGAAACATTCTCAATTCCCAGTTTTTTTTTAAAGTCTTCAAAGTGCAACCACCCCCGCTCACAAAGCTTTAGTTAATAGTTACAAGATCCAGTTCAAACAAGAAAAACACCCAATATCTGGCCCCTAGCACCCAATATATGCCTACAGCAGCCATTAGTGATAGATTTTTATATAAAATTCAGGCCTATATTTTGCTGGAGGAAGGAAAAATGTGGTGATGAGTCACTCATCTGCTTCCCCAAGCATTTATGTAACAACTTTTAATAGGTCGAATTTGTCCTGAAGAAAAGGGCCACCTTCTGGGTAGATTGGTACATATATTTTGCGTGGACTGGCCGAGTTTATTTTCTTATATGTGGCGTGGTGGACTATATGAAAAGGACCACACCAGCAGTAAGTCCAAATGAATTCGGAAAGTTTCTCTGAGAAGGGCATTCTCACTGTTTGGAACTTGCTCTTCTGTTCCACAGAAATGACCATTTTGACACGCCAAGTCCCACAGGTGTCTTATGTCTGTCCTTCCTGCCAGACAATTTCCCTGGAACCGTGAAGGCTGCTGCTGAACGCAGCCGAGTTTTCTCCGGGGCTGTCCAAATTAGTGCCTGACTGTGCTTATTTTCTAGGAGGATGAGACAGTAAGCCCCAGGTAGACTAAAAACATCACTCTGTGGTGTCTGGTTTTGTGGGTATTTGGCAATTAGGAGGCAGAGGTAGAAAAGTCCCTGTGTTCAGAGAGACGATTCTGATGAGGTTGGTGGGCTTCGAAATTCAGAAATGACTCTTAGTTTCAGTCACAGCAGTGCTAGGAACTGTGGATGGTGGCGGGAGCAGCTTCTCAGTTCTGGGACTAATTGGGCAGATGGAAGCTTTTCGCTGTCATCCTCTGTAAATGAGCCTTTCTGCTTGGGAGAAGAGATCGCACCATCTCAGAAAAAGACTGAATAAGGGGTAGACGTGGCATGTGCGTATTCATTGATCCTGCTATGTGTACCTGCTATGTCCCAGCCACTGCAGGGCAGAGGTGAGCCCACTTCCCACTCCCTGGGAGATCACGGTGTAATAGGGGACACAGCCACATAGGCACACCGTCACAGGAGAGGGTGAGAACGGCATGGCAGGAGTGAGGCATTGTGCTGTGGGGTCCAGAGGAAAGGCTTTCCGAGGGGCTGAAGATGGGTGCAAGGTGGCGATGCGCTGAGGGAGGACGGCCCTCCAGGGGGCGGGCGCCCGTGCAGTGGCGGGGAAGGGGATGGTGGGGGAGGATGCAGTGGATTTCGTCTGGCTGAAGGGGAGGGAGGCATGTGGCAGGAGGTCAGGCAGGCAAGAGCCTTGTACAAGGGCCTTCCCTAAATGTCACCCAGGAGTCTGGCTTTTGTCCTGAGGGCAGCGGGGAGCTGTGTAGCATTCTCAGTAGGCAGTGACAGAACCACAGTGGCATTCTAGAGCGATCCCCCAGGCCATCATGTGGGAAACAGATGGGAGGGGCGGACGGGACTGCCAGACCCCCCTGGTTTTCTGTGTCCACTGCGGCGACCCTGTTGTTTTGCTGACACGTAAAGCAGCCGTGTCTTTCCTCAGGAGCAAGGTCGCATGCTGAGGAAGACCATGCTGGAGCTGGAGAAGCAAGGCCTGGAAGCCATGGAAGAAATCTTGGCCAGCTCCGGGTCCCTGGACCCCGCCGAAGTGGGAGATCTTTTCTATGACTGTGTCGACACGGAGATTAAGTTCTTTAAGTGAAGTAGGCATTCCTCTCCCCTCCTTATTTAAAACTTCCCACCTTACTAAATGACCAGCAAACAAACCACTCTCCTGTTTGAGTAAAATGAGAAAGTTAAGATGTGGCCTCCTTTTCTGAAGCCAGATTGAATGTCACCTTGTATTCTGCCTTGAATCCTGAAGTGTCCCCTTCCTCTGCGATGTAACATGTATCCCATTTGCGTGTTGTTCGTTTGTGTGACTATTTGTGGACTTTAAGCTGCTATCATCGTGTTTCAGTGACAATGGACACATGAGCCTTTTTCGAGAGGACTAGAGATCAGGACTGGAGAGACGGGTTCCATGGTGTGGGCTGGCAGGAAAAGCGCTCTCTGAAGCGTTGGCCTTGCTCTCAGTGACAGTTTGGTCCGGGTGAACGAGGGTGTTCTGCACGCACAGGGCTCCTGTGTGTGTGTGTGTG